GTTAGTAACTTGCAATTGACAATATGATCATTTGATACGAAATGTTTTATATCTACATTATAGATAAGTATTGCAGCTTCTCAGTTTGTCAATGAAAAGCCATAATAACAGTCCCATCAGGATTTCTATCCTCTGTAACACAAGACATGATTCCATTACTAAAATATTAGTCCAGGAACACTATTCTTAAGAGTTGGTTGATAAAGATTTGACTTGGAATCTCTAGGCACACACCTTTCCTCAATCAAGCCGCAAAACATTAAAATTTTTTATGGACTGATCCAACAAAAATAGCCTTATAACGAATAACCTAAAATAGCCTAAAAGAATCAAACATAACAATTTTCCCATAAAAGATGTCAGTAGAACTATACCCTTATACTTCATTGCATTACAAATGTTTAATCCAAAACATTGAAAACAAATGCAAATCATTATTTTAATAGCCAATTACCATCTTTCACATGAAATTCGACTCCGTTCTAGTGTTGTTGCAACCATAGCACCATCATCCTATTAGGTTTAGGCACACCCAAAAATCAATCACACACAGAAAAACACAAGATATTTACGTGGTTCGGCAATTGTCTACGTCCATAGAGAGATTTCACTATAGAATTTCTCAGAGGGAGATTACAGAACTCACACTCACTTTCTATAGATTTACACACACTCTCACTGATTCTCTCTTGCTCTATCTGTGTTTTGTTTCATCCCTTCCTCATCACCTCAATTTATACACAAATGAGAGGGAACAAAGTCAAGGAAGCGGAGTAATTGGAAGGGCTGCCACCTGCCATCTCCCCTCCTACTTCTTGACTTGGAGCCAACCTCCAACTACTCCTCCATGTGGAATGGAGCCAACAATTCTCCCCCTCCACACCCATATGGGTAACTGACTTCTTACTTGAGGTCTATCCTGGTCAAATTCTTGTAAACTTCCAGTTTGTCTCTAGTGACAACCTTGGTCATCATATCAGAAGGATTCTTGTTTCTATGAATCTTTACCAGCTTCATTAACTGCTTTTCCATCACTTCCCGTATCCAATGATACCAGACATCAATGTCCTTTGTACGTGAATGGTACATGGAATTCTTGCTTAGATCAATTGCACTCTAACTATCACAATGTACCTTGTACTCTTCCTGCTGTAGACCCAATTCTTGGAGAAACTGCTTTAACCACAACATTTCCTTTCCAGCATCTATGGCAGCAATGTACTCTGCCTCTGTTAAAGATAATGCAACACACTTTTGTATTTTGGACTACTACGAAATAGCTCTTCCTGCAAAGGTGAATAAAAATCCTGATGTAGACTTTCTACCATCAAGATCACCCGCTATATCAGCATCTGTGAAACCCTCTAAAATTGGTTTAGCTCTCCCAAAACATAGACACAACTTTGAAGCTCCCTTCAAGTACCGAAGAATCCATTTGACTGCTTCCTAATGCTTCTTTTCTAGATTGGCGAGGAATCTATTCACAACGCCAACTGCGTGAGCTATATCTGGCTGGGTACACATCATTGCATACATCAAACTCCCTACTGCAGATGAGTAGGGAATTGCCTCCATCTCTTCTCTTTCATTTGTAGATGAGGGACAAGAACTCTTGCTCAGCTTGAAATGGTTAGCCAACGGAGTATTGACTAGCTTGGCATCTTTCATGTTGAACTTTTCAATCACCCGTTCAATATATTTTTCCTCTGACAACCATATCTTCTTGGTTTTCTTGTACAAAATCTACTATGCTGGGCCTAAATTCTTCATCTCAAAATACTACGACAAGTCCTTTTTCAACTTGTTGATCGTAGCAGTATCCTGTCCAATGATCAGCATATCATTGACATACAATATTAGGATGATGAAGTTTCCATCCAAAAACCTTCGGAAATATACACATTGGTTTGCTACCGCTCTTGTGTACTCGTGATCCACCATGAATAAATCAAACTTCTTGTACCATTGTCTCAATGTCTGCTTCAGGCCATAGAGACTCTTCTTCAGTTTGCAGCCAAGATTTTCTTTTCCTTTAACTTCAAATTGTTCTGTGTAATAACCCTGACCCATGATCAACGTTAATCCATGCTTAATTATGCCTCCTAAGAAATTAAAGTGAAGTTTTGCATCGTATGTTGCCTTATTTGTGTTTATATCTGTTTAGCGTAGTAAGATCTGTTCATGTTTTCATTTTGGTTTGAGAATTGAAGGCCTTATCGGCATCCGATTCAAAAATTGACTTGATTTATGTGTTAATTAGAATTTTTGGAATTTTATGGTAGGTTCAAACGAAATTCAATTCGGAACGAAATAATTAGAATAATTAATGCTTATTTAATTAGTGGTAAGCCTAATTAATTAGTCCACTAACCAAGCCTATATAAGGCTTCTATATGCATCTCAACTCACCTTTCTTCATCATTTTTTTGATACCAACCGTGAGAGAGAGAAGGGGGAGATTAGAGTCAACTTTGAAGAGAATTGAAGTCAAGCTAGCAACTACTAGAGGAATTGAAGGGAATTGGCGAGATTAAGCAAAAGATCACTAGAATTTAAGGAATTGTGGACCCTAAGTAAGGAAATCAACCCTTAAGCTTTATGTTAGACTCACTTAAGTAAGGAACTACGAGAATTAAGTGAATCAATGCATAAATTAAGCTAATGAACTAGAAGAGAAGAGAAAATCATGCATACATGTTCATTTGATCATAATTAAAGTTATTTTCAAGAGAATTCTCACATGCATGTTAGTATCTTGGTTTTGTTCAAGGAATTCAACATGTTTTAGACCTAAACATCTCATTTGATCATGATTTGGAAACTTGGAGCTCAAATCATTTCATGTTTGTCATGTTCATGTTATGTTTTTACATTTCAAGCTTGATTTTGTACAATTGCATGTTATTGGGCTTTGATTTTGAGTAATGATTCTTACTTCATGATGTTTTGCAAGTTTACAAGAGTTCCCTTAAGTTTTTAGCCCAAGAAATCATAATTTACAGCTTTGGGGTTGAGTTTGAAGCTTGGAAGCAATTCTGGAAATTCTAGAATTCTGTTTCCACGCTCGAGCGACAAATCCTGCGCTCGAGCGACCACCTTTATTTTTGCACTTTTGCTCGAGCGACCAAAAGTCCGCTCGAGCGTAAAATGCATGCTCCCAGAAGTTTGTGTGTTTTATAGAATGCTCGAGCGACAAAAGTTGTGCTCGAGCGACAAAAGTTATGCTCGAGCGAGCATCGAGCGAAAAAATCAAACAACCATCACTTTTGCAAAGTTTACAGACCGCTCGAGCAAAAGAATGTGCACTCAAGCGACCACTCGCATTTTGCATGTCCGCTCGAGCAAAGAAAGTTGCACTCGAGCGAGACCCCTGTTTCCAGTATTTCTAACTAAATGTTTTCAAATGCATTTCTTTTGCATCCTTATTACATCCTAGTCATTCCTAGACCAAGATTAAGACACAATAATGAGAGTAAAGGCTAGAAACACACTAAGAACAAAATGAAACAAGTTATGTACAATCCAAGCATGTGTTTCAGTATATGTAACTGTTATGTATTGATGTAGGTCACACGCCATAAACCATTTGATTTGCCTGCTCTGTCTGTCTGCCTGCACCTAGAGCCATCTGTGAGTAATAACTTAGTAAAGCTATGTTCATCTTTATTTTCTTTCTGTATGATAAAATACGATCTATTTTCTGAAATGCTATGTTCCGTACAATGAATGATTGTCCAATTCCTGACAATGTATTTGTAGTATCCTTGGTATCACGTGATATCTGTTAACTGTTGCCCAGTATCAGAGGTTCCATTACGGAACTTATTATGTCTGCACTCTATTACCCGTACCGGAGGCTCCATCATGGAGCTCAGCATATCTGTCATCTGTTACCAGGTTCTGGAGGTTCCTTTATGGAACTGGTTACTCATAGCCACCATCTGTTCTGTATCTTTTCTGTTAGCGCTAATGGATGTACCACGTATAATTAAACATGAACTCTGATTTCTGTATATGACTTGAACAAGAACAAGAATATGTATATGAATCTAAAATTTTGATTTTCTAAATCTGAAATGGTTATCATTCATCAAATTCTTTACTCTGTTATTATTCATTGGGCTCCCGCTCATTATTTATGTTATGCATGTAGGTGATCAGGCACATGACCAGGCCTAGAGTTGATGGCTATAATTCTGTTTTGTCAGTCAACCACCATGCCTCCCGAGGAGGTTCCTTTTGAGAAGACCATATCAAGGCTTTATCTTTTTTGTTTTGTTTATCTGTACTTGGGCTAAGTTTCCTTCGATCTTATCTATGTAAATGCGTGACATGAGACCAATGTATTGATGATGTTATGTGTATATATACATATATATAAGTTTGTTTGAAAATTTTGTCTCATATATGTCAACACAGCTCAATGGACTATGTATGTTTTATATATTACTTCCGTAACCCCTAATTATGTGTTATTATGTTAAGAGGCCTTTGGTAATCTAAGGATTAGTGGCCGGTTACGACGCTAAACCTATAGAGGCAGGTTTGGGTCGTGACAGAGTGGTATAAGAGCACATGAATATATCGCACACATAAGTCCACATGAGCTATAGAGTGTCCTAGTAAGCATTAGGGCATCTTTCTACATGTGTGAGTGTGTATATTAATGTCTGTTAATGTGGAAACTGAGTCTGTCTGACCATGAAGACATGAAATAGAAATAAATGGATCGTAATTGAATGATCTAAACATAGTGAAAAGAATTATTGGCCTATGACTATTATTGCCTTGTTTACCTATAGCAACATGGAGAATGCAAGGGAAAATGATACAAGTGAGTCTTCTAAGGCCCGAATGAACCAAATGGAACAGATGCATGTAGCATTGACCGAAGCAATGACATAATAACAAAGATAAAACCTTGGCCCCCTCCACCTTTGCCGGTACAAGTTGAACCAGATAATAACGATATCATCAACCTAACTTAGAAATTCATGAAGATGAAACCGTTAACTTTTGTGGGTGGTATTGAACCGTTGAAAGCAGAGACATGGTTACTTGAAATAGAGAAGTTGTTTGAAGTTTTTCTCTGTACCGAGACTCAGAAGGTTTTACTGGCCACCTTTACTCTTAAAGACAAAGCTCGAAGACAGTGGTTACTAATTCAGAATACTAATGAAAACATGACATGGGCTCGATTCAATGAAATCTTTTATGATAAGTACTTCCTTCAGTGTTTTTGGGATCGAAAAGTGTTTGAATTCCAAGAACTCAAGCAAGGCAGAATGTCCATAGTTGAGTACGAGGCTAAGTTCACTGAGTTAGCCAGGTTTGTCCCTCACATGGTAGATACGGACTATAAGAACGCCCATAAGTTTGAAGGAGGATTGGACTTAGACATATTTGATCGAGTAGGCGTGTTGAAGTTGCCAACATACGTAGAAGTCCTTGATAGATCCTTAATGGATGAAGCTACCCTAGCCACTATGAAACAAAGTAAGGACCCAACAACAACAACAACAGAATAGAGAGGAAAAAGGTCTGGGTACAGTTTCAAAAAGGGTCGTTCTTATGTAAGTAAAAAGCAAAACACGAGGTCTACAAGTAGCTCAAGTCAGAGCAGTGGGTCTATTCTAATTTGCCCTGATTGTGGAAGGAGGCATAAGGGTGTGTGTTACCAGGCATCGGGTTCTTGTTTCCGATGTGGCAAGATAGGTCATGTAGTGAAAGATTGCCCACTTGGGTCTAATAATGTTAACCGCCCTACAGCGAGTTCAGCTAGATCCGCTTCTACAACTAAAACAAATACAAGAGCTAATACTGGGAAAGAAACTCTGAGACAAGGTCAAGTATTTTCCTTAGTGCCTGGTGATGTGCAGAACACTGAAGCTGTGGTGTCAGGTATAATTTCCAGTGTAGACGTCCCCGAACGCCCCGGGAGGAACGAGCTCCCGTTCTGTTCATTTTTGGGGTCACTACAGCTCAGGACTCTCAAATTGTCACGGTTCTAAGTCTGAACCAAAGAGTCCAAATCCGGCAAATCGTTTTGAGAAAGCAGATTTTGAAAGAAGTGCCAAACATGGACTGCTTTGCCAGATACAGAGTCGCCACCTAAATGTTTTTTAATGGGAAATTTAGGAAACCCTGACTCGGTGCCAAAGGCCACGTGTCCGTCATCACCAAAGTTGCCTCGGCTCGGGAACTTGGGTACGATTGGGGAAGGTCACTTCGTGAGCACCCCCGCTCGCCCGATCAAAGATCGGCCTCTACTAACCATGATATCTATTTTTGAAAACATTATGAGTTCTTATTCCGGTTATTAGCCTAGGTTACTATGTGATGCACACGGCATATAAGTATAGACTGGGTCGCCCGAATTGGAACAAAACATTTCATGCTTGTTTATTTGAAAGATGGTTTGCTACTCGCAAGTAGGCTTAAAATGCAGATTTTACCACCCGCAGGTGGGTTTAGAAAAGATGGTTTTGCCACTATCTAGTGGGCTTAAAACAAACAGTCGATGATTTATTCCAATCTAAACAACTCAACCTTCACCCACAGGCATTCAGGCAGTTATATCAAATAAGCATATAGCCTCATGGTAAGCATGCTATTCATGGCAGTCACTCACACGCATGCAAGGATGCTAAAGCATAACTACCGAGTACTCCAAGCCAAAACAGAAGTTTACATTAGAAACTGCATGATTCCTAAGTATACAGAAATGCCTGATGCAACACATGCGAAATGCAACTAAGATAGGCTCGCATTCTAAACAATGGCATATGTGGATGCTACAACTAACATGTATTCAATTGGGAATTGAAAGTACGAATGCAGTTAGTATGATGCGCCGAGCCCGGTGCATGCAAAACAGATGAATGAATGCAAACATGCTATCATACTGTATGCTAATTGAAATATGCCTAATCTAACCATCAAAAGCAGATAAATAAAGGGAAGAAAGACGTGGGGTTGGAAGACATACATCACACTCACGCACACTTATTACATTTGTGCCCTCGCGCAGAGGTCCGAATAAATAATACAGTCCCGAATAAAAGAATATTACAGTCCCAAATATTACAGTCCGAATAATATACAATTCCTAATTAATTAACAATTAACTAAGAAAATAAATAACTGGCATGCAAGCCAGGGACTGCCTTGCTCCTGATGAATGTATGCGTTCTGGGCTGCCTTCGCGGAAATCACTAGGATGCCCCAATTAGCCTCTGTTTACCCTTTTCTTGAAATGCGCGCCAAACTCAAAAAGTTGACTGATCCTTCATTTTGCTGCACACGAGAGCAGGAAAGGGGCATGGCAATGTATTTTCACAGATATATGCATGCCTCGATCCTCGTGCCACCAATCACGCATTACCGAGGCTATGATGGCCGAGGAGTCGAAATGCACAATTCAATATAGATGAATATGCACATAAAAACACAACAAGACCTAACTCCATCATGGATGATCCGGAGTGTCGGTGACTGGGGAATTGAGAACACATTCCGTTCACTCGGAGTACGAAATGCACCTCGTTTCCCGTGCCCGGGCTAACTCCTATCCCAGATACGATGCAAATATGCATGATATGTTCATGAAATGCGACTCAGATACAATCCTAACATACACAATGCTATGAAAATGAGATCCTCGAAATAGTGCATACGGGCACGCAAACCGAGAAAATGACAGAAATGCGATCTAAGAACAACCTAGTATGCAACTATGCTGTAAAAATGAGATGCCTCGAAATGCGTGCACACAGACACGCAAACCGAGAAATGTCAGAATGCGATCTAAGATACAACCTAGTATGCATACATGCGTAAAAATGAGATGCCGTGAAATACGTGCACACGGACACGAAACCGAGGTAATGGCATATGCAATGCAAATGCATGAAAATGGCATATAAAATGCAACATGAACTATACTAACATGAGAGAGCCTCAGCACAACTCACATAAGAGGCCGATAGATGAAAATGAAGTGTCTCGAAATGCGTGCACGCGGGCACGCAACCGAGGCAATGGTATATGCAATGCAAATGCATGAAATGGCATATAAATGCAACATGGACTTATACTAACATGAGAGAGCCTCAGCCACACTCACATAAGAGGCCGATAGATGAAAATGAAGCGCCTCGAAATGCGTGCACACGGGCACGCAAACCGAGACACATGGTAAATGCAATGCAATGGCATGGAAATGGATATAGAAGCACATGGACTTATACTAACATGAGAGCCAGCCACACTCACGTAAGAGGTCGATAGATGAAAATGAAGTGCCTCGAAATGCGTGCACACGGGCACGCAACCGAGGCAATGTATATGCAATGCAATGGCATGGAAATGGCATATAAGCATGCTAATGGATTTTCAGCAATGAATGTTTTTTGGAAAACCTAGCGAATTTTTTTTTTTTTTTACATAACCCGTTGAAATTTTTGTGTAGTGAATTTTTGGCCGAGATGCTATGTTTTTTTTTTTTATCATTCTTTTTTATTTCTGGGGGAAACAGCCCCGAAATGAGGTGAAAACACACCCGATGCATGGAATCTCTCCCGAAATATGAATTTTGGCACCCGAAATGGCCTATAGCTATACCAAACATGCATAATATGGATATGCAATGAATAGACAGAAGCAAGGCAGCTCCAAAATTAGCATTTTACTAGTACAAAACATGGCCAAACAACAAACCAAGATAGGGCAAAACTAGCATGCAAGAAATGGCCCTAAACATGGGATTAAGAAACAACTCATAGCTGATGTCCTCAAACAGGTTAGGGTCCTTCAACAAAGTTGAAGAGCGACCCAAAATATGATGTTTTTCAGAACTGTAAAAACCCCAAAAACAAACACAGGTATGGCTGCACTCTCATGCAAGAAAAAGGGCCAAAAGGTGGCCAAAGAGGCAAGTGGTATATGCAAAGCCCAAACTGAAAAATTCCCTTCTACAACATTGAAGAGGGACCAAAAATAAGCATATTTACAGAACTGTAAAAACTCCAAAACAGTATACAAACATGCTAGAAATGCAATGCAAAATGAGGCTCAAAAGTGGCTATAACACAAAGTATACAAAATATTCCACAAAAGACCAAAGACCCTTAATAAAACATGAAGAGTGGGCCAAAATAAGACTATTTTCAGAACTGTAAAATGGCCGAAAACAAAAGCATGATAGGCTAACAAAACATGCAAGAATGGGGACCAAAAGAGAGATATAACATGAATTAGCATATGGAGGTCTCAAACAATGAAAGGCCCTAAATGAAACATGAATAATGGACCAAAATAAGACTATTTTCAGAACTGTAAAATGGCCAAAAACAAAAGCATGATAGGCTAACAAAACATGCAAGAATGGGGACCAAAAGAGAGATATAACATGAAGTGGCATATGGAGGTCTCAAACCATGAAAGGCCCTAAATGAAACATTAAGAATGGACCAAAATAAGACTATTTTCAGAACTGTAAAATGGCCAAAAACAAAATCACAATAGGCTGCCCAAGCATGCAAAAATGGGACCAAAAAAGGAGTATAAAGGCAAGTATAACATGGAGGTCCCAAACAGTATTTATCCCTTCTTCAATGTTGAAGAGGGACTCAAAATAATCCTATTATCAGTTTACAACATGCTCCAAAACAAATCACACACAAGCTAAAAATATCATGCAAGAAAATGACATTTTAGAGGGAGAAAACGGTATTTGAGAAGGGTATTGAAGGAAGTGCAATATGGGGGGCTCAAACAGGGTTGAGCCCTTAAGAAAAAGTGAAAATGATCTCAAAACAAGGCCACCTTCAGTTATGGCCGGAGTTCAAAACAATAAGCATAAGGAGCTAAGATATAGGCCAAAAAAATGCACAAAAGAGGGAAAATGGGACTCACCCTTGTAGAACCAATCTTTAGCAACCTTTGGACTGAGTTTGGGAGCTTTTAACCTCTGGAGGCCAAAAAGGGTGAAATAGCAACTCACCCTTGTAGACCAATCTTTGGTTGCTTCTTGGACCAAGTTGCAGCACCTTTAGCCTTTGAGAAGCCCTCCTTGTTGCTGGAAATGGAGTGGTGGTGAAGGAATGAAGTATAGAACTTGGATGTTTTTGAGGAAATGAGAGAGATAGAGGGAGGTTTGAATGTATATGCTTGAAGGCAATTTCTCTAACCCCTAATACAAGTGTTAGCCCTTGGTTATATGGACCAAAAAGAGGTACAAAAGGTGGGGGAAAAATGAGGCAAGCTTTCCCCTACAAAATATCCCCCGGATATAGATATTTTCTGGGAGATAAAGCTATACAGCTGTAAAGTGAACAGTGTGAGGATCATGGCCGGCCAGTTATTTTTGTTGCAGGTGGCCGGCCGGCCACACCCCCTAGCCGGCCGGCTAGGGTTCAAAAGGGTCAAGTTGGTTTAGTGGCCGGCCACCACATAATGGTGTCCTCCCATGTGCCCTCAACACAACCCTGTGGTTAAAAGTCCAAGAAAGTGGCTCAACCAAGGTGTT